ATTGGGTAGAAGTTAATAAATAGCTCAATAAAAAAAACTCGAGACAATACAGTAACAGGAAAGCCCAGGAGTGTTCACTAAATCACATTCAGGATGGAAAGAACTTGTTTCAACCTCTTTCACCACCTCCTCAAAGCTGCACCTGATCACAACGCGATTTACAACCTGCCAAACACACCTTCTCTCCAACAAAGCCATTTTACTTTCTTTCCCCTTCCACTTCACCTGAACTAGCTACACTCTTCCAAGTAACATCAGTCCTCGGCCACCCCATGATCTATCACAAAACCTACTGAAGCAGGCAAGAGGATAACTTTATAATGATTACTCTTCAAAACCAGACCTTGGGGCACCACAAACTAGGACTGGAGCTTTGTCTGCTTTAAAGACAAGTAAAAAATTTTGTCTTCACTCCAGCAGCAATTTCATCTTCTTGTGTCCCAGGCATGTCACTTTGTACCTTTTACTTGCCACCACCAGGATTTGCCAGGAGCTTCTGTGAGGGACTCCGGGATGCAGAGGCTCTGCAGCACGCACACAGACCGCCCGCCCGCCCGCACAGCACACACCAGCTCCGCTGCACCCCAACCTGCCATCACAGGTAGCCGCATCCGAGCTCCGAGATCGCTCAAAAGGACAAGACACTTTCTTTTTCACACCTTAAGCCTTCAACTCCCTGTGAAGCCCTTCCATTTTCAAAATTTGTATCAGCCTCCTACTAAAATTAATTCAATAAGAGTCCCCCGCTTGCTTTCCAGCCCATCCCAACAGCACCTGAATGAGCACATTAAATGAAGAGCGCTCATTTGTGCTGCTATAGTATTTTCCCTTTCAAAGTTCTCCAAACTCCTTACAAACATTGACTAATGAATTGGGCAATATTTACCCAGCTGCCTGGAAAATAGCTACACCTTTTTCAACAGCACAAAGTAACAAGAAGTGAATCATTCACAGAGCCAGAAGCAGAAGCTGGGTCTCTCAGTTCCTCTTCACGTGGTATCTCCACAAATAAGAGTCCCAAAACTCTTGCTCACAAGATCACTGATCCAGCTCTGGGACGCTCTGAGATCTACCAACCTGTGACAGTGTGCTCTACCCCTGCTACCAGTTAGTCTCAACTCCGAAACAAAGAACCAGGTTTTACAGGAAGGAAATAAATAAATAAAAGGCAGCAGAAAGAGCTCTGTTCACACCGACAGCAGCAGCCATTGCACAGACGACTGCATTTTACCAAGCATTATTAATTCAGTATTCTGTCATCTCTCAACACCACTGTTCATTCAACATCAAACGCCTCAGCGAGGACTTCCTAATTAAAACATGGAAAGGCTAAAATCAAGCATATTTTTGTCACACTGTTTGTCGCTCTTTTACTCACAATTGAAATAGCTTCACGTTTAATTGTGCACAGAGCCACACGGGCTGTCTCAGCACACAGGAGCAAACAGCGGCCGCTTCAGTGCTGCAAGCAATTCTCGTGCTGCCCCTTCGTCTCTAGCAGGAGGCGTCTGTCTGCCTGCACAAACCGACTGAGACGTCCCGCGAAGCAGGGTCTTGTCTGAAATACAGCACGCAGAGGCATCCCTGGGTGCCCTGCGCTCTGCATGGCCCCTAACGCCAGTGAGCCAAACCGTGCAGGAAAGGCAGGCACCAGGCACTTCCCAGCCCTACATCTCCTAAGCTCAGGCACTCTGGGGACCTCTACTATCCTGCTGCAAAGCGACAACATCCTCTACACCACACTAACCCTTTCAGCAAGAAACCAAATATTTCCCCACACTACGCTGAAAAACTAACCTCCTGGTCTCCCTGAGACCACTCAACCTGGAATTGAAAGCTCAAGTCTAACCTCTGCCTCACACCATAGACCTAACAAAAGCTGAGGCCAAGGAGCGCGGTTTCCGTGTAAGCCAGCAGTTCAGGCTGCTCGCCTCCAGCCGCAAACCTCTGCGCTCCCCTCCGCAGTACGAAATACAGAACATACTGCCAAGACACAGCAGTCCATAGTGGTTTCCATCAGTGGAGCAGTATGTTCTTCCTTCCTCCTGAAAATGAGGGCAAGAAGGAGAATGACAAGAAACAAAAAAAGCACCACCAATAAAGAAAAACAAAAGAAAAAGACTGCCGTCATCACCCCAGGGAAGCAGAGACACAAACCACAGCTCTGCATGTATGCCAGCCTTGCCAATGCTTGGATCTGAAGGCAAAGAAGTTCGCTACAGCGGGATGTGAAGAGCAAAGCCAAAATTCCCTGCTAAATGTTGCTGCCAACCAAGCCATTTCTGGTCAATATTTGTAAAACAAATTGAGCCTGTGCTGTAAATATCCCTGCATCTGTGCGCTGATTGTTTCAGCATGAAGACTTGCAAATAAGCTTCACAACATACTTGCAGTGGGAGAATAGCTTGAGCAACTCTGGTCGGACCCCGCTGTTCAGGCCCTTTGTGACCGGTGACAGACAGCACTACTGCAGCCTCTCTCACAGCACCACTGCAGTGAGGTGGGCAGCAGTTTGCAGCCACCTGTACATTAAAAAAAAAAAAAGCAAAGGAAAAAAATCTTTCAAGGAAAAAAAAAAATTGTTTCAAAGTTACCTCAAGATTATCACGAGATTCATTTCAGAATGCTTTAAAGGTTTAACAAGCAAATCAACCCCAAAACTTGGTTCAGACTCAAACTATTTGTTTGG